AAACAAGCAGGTTGTGTACCCCTTACAAAAAAAATACAGTACTGTATGTTCTGCACCTTTAATGCTGATGGAGTGAGTCAATTTTTGCACTTTTGTTACCTCGTCCCCGAAGGATTGACCAGGTTTTGTACTCACCCTGTGTGTCTGTGTGTCTGTCCACCCGCAATAATTCCGCCATTTATGGACCGATTGTCACCAAATTTGGTACATGGGTCAAGCCCCCGTGCCCGATGCCGCAAAAAAAAGGTTGGTGACGATCCGAGGTCATTTGAGGTCACATGGGTCAATTAAAAGGTGACACCATTATAAAGGATAGGCAATTTCGGCAATTTCTGAACCATCTGCGGGCTAAAATATTCACTCAATCATCACATAAGTTGGCACACACATAACCAGGGTATGGGCTGGGCTCCTCATAAGCTGGCTTCCGTGGTGATGAACTGCCCCCACCGATGCCTGGGGGGACCAGTTTGCTATCTCTGATTGTGCTTGTTATGTATCTGTATACCAAAGCTAAGTATAGCCAAAAAATAACTGTTTAAAAGTTTAAAAGCCTGAATAGCACATTTTTTAAATGTCCTATATGCTATTTTCTGATTTATGTTATCGTTGTTTCCTCCAAAAACCTGGAGTTGTGTTTTGTTTCATTCACATATGTTTAACACACAGCTTTTCTCACTTCTTTTCTTGTGATGTCATGTGCTCCACTCTACTTTTAGACTCCATACACTGTCATTACAATCATCTGGATGATTTCAGTCCTGGAATTGCCAATCTCTGAAATAAAGGTAGCTGTGTGTCTTGAAAACTACTGCTTCATGACATCACAAGGTGAAAAGGAGCATTTTGAGCTTTGGAGATGGAGACAGACTAATAATGAAGCATTACTCAAACATGTCTGAATGAAACAAAACACAACTCCAGGCATGTTTTTGATGGAGTAACATTATAACTTGGCTAAAAGTTCACAAGAGTTAATTTTACATAGGACCTTCAAACATCAAATTGAAATATGATGAAGAAAACATTTCAGCCTTCTGTATTGAGATTAAATTAGATTCATAGTGCTCCAGTAAAATCCTATCTGGAAGTGATGCAATCTTCACCTCTATTAATAATACTGATATGTACAGTATGTGCAGTTGTGGCTGGAAGTTGGCAAAGTCCAACACATATGCAGTTTATATTCAGCTACAATTAACACAAACTTTATTTATAAATGGGTGTAAAATTAAAATATTATTAATCATCCTTGAAAGCATTTGGGTGCAGAATCGTTTATAGTGTGGTGGAGGTCCTGTACAACACTGAATGGGCTTAGTTTCCAAAATTGAGAAATATATTTCCAACATATAGAAAATATGGGTGACTATTTGACGTGTTTAAATAACAACTTGCACTGCATTGGAGGGGAAGAAGTGCTTTTTATTGCATGCTAGTTGTTGGCATTAAGTCAAAACTCTGCTAATTATGATGCTCGGAATACATAAAATAAATATCAGGTAAAGAGATTTAACAGCAAAACAATCAAGTTCTATGCGATTACACTACCAGTCAAAGGTTTGGACACACATTTTATGTATTTTTCTTCTTTATTTCCATGATTATTTGCATTGTAGATTCTCACTGAAGTCACTGAAATATGAATGAACACATATGGAATGTAATGAAATGTAGCAAACAAACAAAAAGCTCAAAATGACTAAAAACTTGTTTCAGATTTCACCCTTTGCTTTAAACTGGTTTGCACTTTTGCTTTTTCTTAACCCAGACATGGCACAGCTGTGAACTGAAAATCATTCACAATCCGTCCAGAAGCTCATTGAGAGAAGGCCAAGGGTTTGCACTGCCAATAAAACAAAGGGTAGCTTGAGGATTTGAATATAAACCTTTTTTTTAATCTTGCTTCATATATTCAAGTGTCTTCAGTATGTATCTAAAATGTAGAAAGTGGAAGAAAAACCTTTGAATGAGATGTGTGCAAACTTTAGAGTGGTAGTGCATGACATTTGTTAAAGGTATTTATCAACATAATTGTTGTGCAAAGATCAAACCTGTGTCTGTATATATGGCATGGACTCCATCCAGCCTCACCCTATTCGACCTGGCCTATTCAGTGCTCACATTGTTTTACATTAATCCTCTATTTTCATCAGTCTGCCACGTGTCTACAGTTTCTTATGCTTTTTAAAATATAGTGATAATATATAGGCCTTCATTTATCATAATTTAACATTTTTTTTATCACAATATTGATCTAAAGCAACTTAAAGGAACTATAATATTAATGTATTAAAACTGTAATATTTTAAATAGACCTAAAACACCCACAATAATTCACTAACAATTGTTATCAGGAAAAGCAATATTTGATTTGAACATGATTACTTCAGTTAGGTCATGGAAATTAAAATTTAAATATTACGGTTCCTTTAAGTTGCTTTAGATCAGTATTGAGATTTGTGCTGATTTATTCTTGGTGTTTTAATTCAATTTTCCAATGAGAAAGCAGAATGATCCTCCCATGAGTTTCTCATTTGAATTGTCAGTTTCAATTTGGAAATCCAGTTGGACTGAATCTAAAATGCCCCTCTCTGGTCTGAATGGTCTCTGCCTTAAACCCCAGCACCTCCAGTCAATCATGAATCAATGCTAGTGCAGCCTCTGCAGCTCAGTGAGAGAATTCTGAAGGTTGTGAGCTTTCATGTGAGACATGGCCTCTCCATATACTGAGAATGAAAAAAACTTGTATGTGTCCTCAATGTGCAGGTTAAGATAATCCAGGTTGCACACTACATAGTACACATAGTTCCTTTAATAATAGAAGCAGATCAATTGACCTCCTGTTCAAAACATGAACTGGCTCTACCTCTTCACTGCGGATTATATATATATTTGAAAAATGGCCACTCAACATTTCTGAACATTTGCGCATAACTTGAAGTTGAACATTTCTAAAGAATGGCCAGAACAAAGCTGGGGGTGGAAATAGGGGACTGGTGAAAACAGTCATTTTTTGAGAACTCAGGAAATGCAGGACAGTACAGAATTACTCAAACATGCATCAGGAATCAATTAAAAAATTGCAAAATATATCTCCATTAACCCGGCTAATGGAGCATTGTATATTAAAAAAGTCTACTGCAGTGCATTTGGATGTTTACCTTTAACCTACTTTCCGACAGTTTTGATATTTGAAGGTCTGATGCACACTGAAAACCCAAAAGATGTCAACTGCAAACATCATCAGCGCTCAGCTTTGTTGTCAGTGCATCAGAATCAAAGAGAAACCATTTCTTACATGAACTACAAGGCAGAGGTGGTGAGGTTCAGATCTATAACAAATTCTACACAAAAGGTAAGACAAAAACTGGGATGGTGAAGATGAGAAGAGAGAGAGAATGAAGAGCTTAATGGCGGAAAGAACAAGTATTTTAATAGTCAAATACAACTGAATATATTTCACAGAATCAAACATTATAATACACCTGATGACATTGTCTTGCTTTTTCATGGCCGTAACACAACCATTTAAGGAGAGGAGATTTGGGGAGGTTTTTGCTTTGCTTATGTTCCACAGTATGGCATTAAACCTGTAAGATATCTTAGCTGATTTTACATTAAGAAGAGAATAAAGTTTACCAGTCAACCATTTGAGAAAAGTCAAATGTAATGCAAAACAGAATTCAAACAAATGGCTACTACTAGAACTACGACATAGGGCAAATAGGGATTTAAGGCTTATTTAAATGTAAGAAAAACAAATTGGCGTATTTTACATGATTTCAAGAAGAGTTGTAGATGGTTGGAACATAGGCCTAAAAGCCATTTTACATTTTATAAGGGAGTTATAGAGTGAAATGACAGGAAACCTGCCAAACAACTGACTTTTGGCACACTTGGACCTGAGCCAAAATAAACGCACAGAACAGTAAGCCAAGAGTAAACTAGGTAAGCCACACAAGCATACGCAAGCAACGTTTTCTATAAGCCTGGACTTTTTAATGACTGTTGAAATGTTTATGGAAAAAATACTGCAAACAAAGGTAAAGTGGCAATATGTTGTTTTGAAGTAGAGGTAGAAGAGCAAATAAAGTTTATGATTAAGATTTGAAACTGTTCCAGAGAGCTTCTGTCTGGATTATTGTTGAATTGGATAAGCCTGTATGTTAAAGTTCATGTCAGGTCATCTTAGACATCGTTTCCAAGCCTTCAATAAAATCTGGTAAGTTAAACATTTCTGACTGAAAAAAAAGTAATAAAGCCTATGCATTAAAAAACTTGTCTATTTGATTATTAAGTGACTTTAAAAGGCACAGCATTCGCCCCCACACTGCTGTGGTGAACTAATCTAGCCACAACTGTCCTTAGGCAGACTGCTGGAAACTGGCAGGAATCCACAAGCCACACTGGCAATAGGCTATCATGATTTACCATAATAATCAGTGCATTTATAGAGCGCCTTTCAAGACACCCAAAGCAATTTACAGTTCATTGTTTGGTCACTCCGCACTTGGTGGTGGTAAGCCACTATTGTAGCCACAGCTGCCCTAGTTCAGACATAACCATTTGTACATGTCTAGCTTACTGATGGCAGAAGTAACAAGAGAATCAAACCATATTTTTTTTCTACTATATCACCATAATATGAGTGTAAAATGAATCATCAATATTGTTATTTGATAGCCTAGATCTTGGTGCACCCTCTCAAGTTTGATTGCATGGTACCCTCACATTATTACAGTTTTGTTTGTGTGTTAAATTAACCAATAGCCTACATTTGATTTCTATAGGCTAGCTTGCCTATGCCACATTAGGGATGGATAATTCAACAATTAAAATGCGTAGGCCTGGATCTGCACACTTTCACTTTAAAGTATATGGAGCAAATGAGAAGGAAGCTAAGATTGAGGCCGAGTAAAGACTAGTGTTAGGTAATCTGTTGTTTCCTTCTCTTTCAGTCAGTGGGCATGTACCAGGCAGCCTTCTGTAATAACAGCCAACCGCCATCAAAAAAGAAAAAAAACTTTGTTATAAGGGCGAGGCTTATTTTGTTCGGTTCCTGCCCTTGATTCGACTCTCTGAGTCCCCGTAGCGAGCAGTACGGAGTGCTACAGCTGTCAGTTTCGCTTGCTTTTCGTTTGCGGCTCTGTGTTGTGAAGTTTCAGCTGCCTGGGTCTCTCCACACGGACATACACCGGGAGACAGAGCTCTCTCATGCCCGGCTCCGCGCTCCTCTGCCCGGCTTCTCTCACGGCTCAGCGCAGGCAGTCCACGGGCAGGCGCTGGCATATCCCTCCGCGGAGCCTGACGCGCACTCTCGCTCGGGTCATTCCAGGTTAAAGCGCTGTCGGAGCTGGAGCCCGTGTCCCGCTCACTTAAGCCCACGGAGAGAGAGCAACACCGCGTCAGCTCAAGAGGAATGCACACGCAGCCGGCAGACTGCATGTAACACACGGACTTGTGCTCCGGCATAGGTAGGTCCGATCATTTTGAGAATATTTTGGAGACGATACGCGCAATGACAGCGTTTATATTTGACGTGACTGGCAACCCCGGCACTACATTTTCAGATTGTTTGCTAATTGCTTATTTTACCGCCACACTTTAACATGTTTTTGTAGCAAACTCTTCTCCGTCTTTAATGTAATTCGAAGCTGAATTCGCTCACATGGGAGCTGATCCTGGTATATCATGATTTTAGACATTTCAGAATCATTCCGAGGTTTTGAACAGCTATGAAACCAAGTTTACACCAAGCATTACTTTTATTACTTCATGTCCCAAAATGCTTCCGCCCACAACATTGCGTTTGCGAAAGCACGAGTCTACTTGTTGTCAAAGTTGTCGTGAGGTAAATATCTTTTTTATAAGACATCCCGAATTAAAGTTACGACTCTCATTACTCAGAAACGACTGTATTTGTTATTATGAATGTGCGCAGTTTAGTAAAAGAATATAAATAGGCTACTTTCGTTGACAGATAATTGGAACAAGGTTTTGACAGGAGGGAGGGACGCAGGGTGCCCGTGTTCGCTTTGGACTTGAGTTAAGTTAAGTATCCATACTTTTGATACGTAGCACAGGCGGAAGACCTTCCTGTAGTGGTAATTTTTTTTTTTATTATGCAAAACACGTGATCAAGCGAATCATTCATTACAGTTATAGGTAGACATCTAACAGTGACCCTTAAATTGGACTTCTGACCCTCTGCCTTTTGGAGTAATATTTGTCAGGACCTAAATGGGACAGAAATGCCCGCGTTGACCCGAGATAACAAAGTGTTCACGTGAGTTTGAGTTTTTAGGAGCAGACACGTAGGCTTTCTTTGTAACTTATTATTTTAATTCATGCCCTTATTTATATGTTATAATAGTTTATTATTGAAAAGACGGGAGCAAGTGATGCATTCACGTGGGACCAGAACATCCAGTACCTTTTAATCCAGCCTGTCAAATCACAAATAATTTAAAACACAAATAAACTTTAGCTATAATACTTATAAAACAACTTTGACACAATATTTTAAATCAGCAAAACATCCAACGAATTAAATACAAAATCAAATCGGTGATTACAAAATAAGTAACTTTAACAAGTATTTCTGAGTATTTCTTTTACAATCAGATATTAATTAACTGATTTGAAACGATTAGACAAACACAATGCACCCCCATTTTATCAAGTCATTATTAGATGTTTTTGACTAATGTCTGACTTATCCTGAGGGAGAAAAGTGGAATTTTCCAAGGCACCATGAAAGCAGCGTCGGTTCCTCAGCTGAGAGCATTTGAGGTCGCTCCTGTTCACCTCATGTAGCCTATATCAGCGGTAAAGCAGGACACATAAGCTTATCATTACATACATATATAGGCAAGTCGGTGGAAAGTTGATATGTATCGCTAGCAGACACCCAAGTTTATTATCCCATTCACATTTTTGTCCAAACTTGTTGGTTGGCTTTTGACCGCAGGATGCCCCGCCTCCCTCTGTGTAAAGTACAAGTCGTTCTAGATGCCAAATATCGAATGGCATTGGTAGCAGATATAAAAAACATCTATATATATATATTTCAAATAAAAATATTATTGCTGTGTTGGATAAATATTAGGGAAGCATAATGCAGTTTTGTTCAGTTCGATACCGATGTCAAAACTTAGGCTTTATATACCTGATATCAACAGATAACTGGGCAAAAACTAAAAATAAAATGTATTTCCTATAAACACAAATGACATAATAAATACAATATAAATACAAATATAACAATTATTCAAATGTGTTTTGTAACTGTTATGCATCATTTAATGTAACTACAGAACAACTAACAAAATATGACAAGATGTTTTGGGCCAACATTGTCCAGTAAAGCATCTCATTGCACCAATTAATAGACCAGAATGGGAGACTGACTGAAGTGATATCTGATCCATCAAAATGTTCAGTATCAGCTGTAATATCTGATTCCGGTATTGTATCGGTGACTCCCTAATAAATATTTAATGGATAGATAAGCCTTTCACAATAATTACTAGGTTCAGTAATTAATGCCTGTACCTTTTCTTTGTACTAGTTTTTTTTTTTTTTACACAAGGCATTTTTCTTTGTCTTATATGATCAAATTTCAGGCATACTTGGTTCAATGATTAACATCTATGGCAAATTATAGCTACTGGAACAAGTGTTTGCCACGTTTTACAATATGGATCACTTAGAAACAGGCTCACTGGAATGATCCTTCTCTAGGTTTATTGCGTCCGTTGTTAAATCCATTTCAACACCGTCATGTATTGTGATTATGTTTCTATAGCAATATAATGTACTTGAAAATGTGCTTACGTGGCAGGTCTGTATAGAAGTTTTGAAGTTTTTGTTTACCAAGAGAGTAACCACAGAAACTCACTGTACTGCACTGTAAGAAACATTGAATATAAATAGAAAAATGCCTAGTTTTTTCCTCTATAAGTTCCTCTAAAAAAAAGATAAGGTGCATTGTGCAACTTTTGTAATAGAGGGTCCACCACCTGCTTGTCTCCATAGTGATATTATTTGGTCCAGAATGTTCCACACTGTGGCATTTGAATGTATTTATCAAGCAGTTATTTAATCACTGGTGTTTTTATTTCACAAAATACCATGAAATATATGCGTTCTTACTGTGATTTTAGAACATTTTAGGTAAAGCAATAAAAAACAACAATTATATTCTCTAGAGAAGTTACGCAGTGCACTTTTAATAAGCATCAGGGTCAAATGGGTATCAAAATGTGACAAAAAAAAGAGGAATATTACAGCACAAACATATAACAGAATTCACTTAAACAAAAAAGTGGAGAGGAAAAGGAGCAGACATTGGTGTATATTACAGAAATACAGAATGTGGGACCGATGATCAGGCAGGTCTCATACTCATGCCCCTCCCCCCTTCCCCTGTAGCCACAGAGGTGTATCCACATGGACATTGTTTTATATCACCTGCACACATCCTGTAATCACAGCTATACTCCCAAAAGCTATCCCAGGTCGGCATTTAACTGAATGTCAAGATGAACACTGCTAAAAGTTCCCATTTAAAGGCGACCGCTCCGTCATAAAGGTCACCCCAACAAAAGGAAGTGGTGCCGTGCTGTTTTATAAGAGGGGCATACCTGAGTGCGCCAAGCCTCTCTCCTCCAATGGGACTCCTGTATGCATTTAGTATTTAGTGCAGCCACTACATTTTCTATCTTAAAAAAATGTTGGCATATGTCGGGGGTTGTCATAGTGAATAGATATTGATGCCTGATGTGGATGCGCACATGGGGAGTCAGTTCCTCTTACTTTCTGTTTGAATGCAGGGACCATTGAGCGAAGCAGACAACTGTCCAAGTTTAAAATAGTCCAATCAGTGCTGTGTATTTGTAGCTTGTGTCTCTCAAATGCAGAAGGCATCTCTCAACTACCCTTGTATTATTCAGAGCAAACTGTATAGTAATTTATTTTAGCTCAGATTGACAGTTCAGTGCTTCACTTGATTGTGCAGGGCTCTGTGCTGTTTCTCAGTCCTCTGTGTTATATTTTGTTTTTACTCTTGGCCACAATGTTTGTTTTGACACAAACAGACAATGTGTTTCTCTAATCTGTCTATCACGGCCATAGAAAATCATGGAGACAGGTTGGGGTTAAGGTCCACTTTACAGATCCCTTGTGATCCCTTCATTCCTCTGCATTGACCCGTCCTTCAAACTGTGCTGGGCCAATCTGTGGTGCAGTGCCTGGGGACACAGATCTTGAGTTAGGTTTGATCAGAAGTGTCTTGGCTGGAGGATTTTACCCAATGTGATGGGAGTAGACCAGAGGCCAGAGGAAACTCACCCAGACATGTGGAGAAACATGCAAACTCCACACAGGAAAACCCTGCGGCGGGAGTCCATCCTGCTGTGAAGTGTGAGTGCTAACTACTGAGGCATCGTGTTGCCAGGACATGGTACCGGGCGTGATGTCTTTGTAAAATACAGTAAAAGTGTGTAGTCTTGGCTGGATAGGAAATCATGCTTTTTATCTTCACATCATTCTTTGTGCACTCATTAAACACAGCGATAACCAGCCAGTTTACATTTTAACGACAGGTTCTGTGGCACGTGTGACTGCACTGTGCTCTAGTCAACTTCCCGTGGATAGCACACTGTACAACATGTTCTAGCGCTATAGTCTCATTACTCAACAACGTGGAATGTAAAGCGTGATCTGACTCACACCGATTCAACTGCGACTGGATTTCATTATCTTAGGAAGGGTTGGGTTTCTGAGAGTTTGGAGGGAAGATGAATTGCAATTATCAAATTAAAATTGCAAGTGACAAAGTAAAATTTCCTAACCTGGTTTGGCATAACGTTAAATGTAATGCCATGTTAAAAGAGATCATTTTGAAATGGCACTGGGGGATACAGTGCTTCTTTCTGCAGCTCTACTCAAACACTCAGATGCTTCTCTTCACCCACTCCTATTGGTTAGGCTCTGAGTGATTGATAGGTGGATTTAACCAGTGAACATAGAGAAACTGGAGATGATGTTAGTTACTCCACAAGCCCACCCCTGATTTGCTAAATCAATGTAGGGGTAATGATATATGGCAAGTAGTGTATGGGCAATTTATAGCCATAAAATCAGAAATCACCAACTATATTTGTCACATCAAAGAAGATGTCAGCTAAAGCAGTTGGCCTATTAAAAAGGCTTCCGTGTACATGCATAAGTCTGTATTTTTTTGCACAATACATGCTTGCCCTTACTGAGCTCTAACTAAATGCACCCTGAATGCTAATTTGTACATTATATTTTAGATCAAAAGTGAATTATTAAAACTACTTGAAGAGCCAGCCCGATGTTATCTGTCTTGTGTAAAAACGATAATGCTTTGAACTATTATCAGGCATTTTGAGCAATCAGCGGTGCCCGTGTACTGAACCCAGCACTGGCCTGTCACATGTGGAAGAGCTCATTACCACTGGGAATCAAGTACAATGGAATGAGTGTACTTTAATCAGGCTTCATACAAGAAATATTAAGATCAATATTGAGATAAGATTTTGGCTAATTCAAACCATTTTAAGATCAAATTTTGAAACTACTTGAGTATTTATGCAAGTGTTGTCTGTTCAGTATGTGGAGTTGGGTTCTGTTTCTCATTTTGACCATGTTATTATGGTTTCCCTCAGCATTACCTTACATAAAGCTGTATTTTGAGTGATTAAAGTTTGAGTAATTTAAAGGTTGAGTGCTCAAAACCCCATATCCTCACCCACATTCATTTAACTATTATCTGAAAAATGAAGACTCCTACTCCAATATTCTCTAGCCATTCTTCAAAATAAAAAAATAAAAATATTTGATAATAATGTGTTTTGAACAGAGTTTTTTACAGGAAGACAGTGGACCCTCTGTTATTATTAAGATTTTAGATCAATATTGCCTTTACAAAATTTCAAATGCTGAATTTGTAACAGTATATTTTACATAATATATCTCCTTTTAAAGTCCACTTGTCTCCACCAGGATTGTTTAGGTCATTTCAACACAGAGATTGCAGCTGGCAGCTATTGATTTTAGCCCCATTTCAACCCCTCACTCAGTTAAACAGAGCTGAATTAACTTTTTAACTTGTCCAATAGTACTTTTAAAAAGCCTGAATAATGCATAAAAATACAGAGGCTTTCAGCGCACAAGGCGGCTAAGTTAGAGGGAAAAGTGTTTGGGTTACTATAAAAACCTTCAATTAGATGGTAATGGTTCTCTCATGTTTTTGTGCAGGTGGTGGAGGTTTGAGGACAGGAGGAGACTGTAACATGGTACACCTAACAAGATCCAGACACTGACTCTGCAGGACAGCAGTACAGAAGGCAGAGTGCACAGGCCAGAGGAGGGCCAGGGGACTGGCACAGGTGGGCCCTTTCAACACAACAGAACAAGACCTTTTGGCATATTGATGCTTACAGTTGTGTCAGTTGTTGTTGTGACTTGTAGTTAACCTGGGAAAAATTTTTACAGTGTTAAAGGAACTGTGTGTAGCGTGCTCTCTTACAGTTTTAAAAATATACTACAATCATCACAGGTTTAAATGTCAGCACTGAAAGTGGCAACTCTAATTAGAGACTCGTGAGGTTCATACTGTTTTCTGATTGGATAATCACAAACCTGACTTTCATTTGGCTTGGAGGAGGGCCACCTGCTTCTCGTCCATGGACATTTTGTTCCCTTGGCTATAATACTCTAGCCAGGCTGGCGCCACCTAGGGCCTCCACTTAATTTAATTTCTCTCCAGCGACTAGGTCAGGAATTGGAATACACTAGACGGTTTGCAAGAACCCCAGAAGTTGTAGACCATGTCCTGGCCAATCAGCAAAGAGCTGTGAAGCCATGACTAAAGCGCCTGGCTGTGGTCGAGATGGATGTAGACGAAGCCATACATTATGTGTTGGCAATGATTCCCAAGATCGAATATTTAAAGCCGGAACAAAGAAAATGTTTGGTGAATTCTATCAAGAGGAAAGACATTATTGCCCTTCTTCTTACAAGATTTGGTGCATTACTTAAGTTACGACCAGATTGGACAGACAGCAGCGATTGGTTAAATTAAAAAAAGTACCTGCCTACCGTCGAGCAAGCGAATCCTAATGCTGCGAGGTCAGACGGTTTCCACGAAGAGAAACCGGCTGATGAATCAGGCTAATAATACTCCACAGTATGACATAAAAACATATCTCTCACCATGGACAATGTTTTTCAACTGTTATTCCATGGAATCATACAGAAAGTATAATGTCGCTATAGTAATAGTAAATACTACAGTAAATATTAAATTATATATATAGGCTATATAGAAGCGTGGGGTAAGGAGACACCACACAGAGATGAAAATTGTGGCTTAAGGTAGTTTGAATTGAAGTGAATTGTTGTACAGTAGTATAGACTATAGTATGAAAAATCTTGTTTCAACTTGTGATTGGCATTGGATGAGAATCCAGGAAGTGCTCTAGCAGGTTTTAGGATTGTCATAATTTCAGTGCTCAAAACTCTGGAACAGAACAGGGTTACTAACTTGTTTTGCACGTCATTTAATCTAGTGAGTTTTTGTGGACACAATTTTCGAACACAATTAGCAAATCACAAAGACTCACAAATGACAAAACCAAATCCTCTCATATTCTGCAAAAAAAACCTGCAAAGCCTGTAGATTAGATCTGTACAAACATGCTCTGAAATGTGATGCTTGTGTTGGTTTGTCAGTTCAGATTTCATTTTTTGAAAATTCTTCTGTAAAAATCGAAAATCTAATCGCAATTACTATGCTCACAACATGAAATACCTGAAGTAGTTACACAAACAATTATGTATGAAATAAAAAAGAACATTTAACCACAATGCAAACAGATAATTTTATTGCCGACCCAACAGTTGGTTTCAATAACCGTTAATAATAATTCCACTCCAAACACTGAGAACGTTTTTTTTTCCGTTTGCTTTTGTTTGTCCATTGATTAATATTGTCTCCTCCACATAACAGGATCCTCTGAGCTGTTTGTGTTTTTCACCACACAGATAAAACACTGAACCTTTCCTATTGTCTGCAAAGTGTGTATTCAAAGAGCACCTGTGTCTGTATTATCTAAATTGATGACCACTGTTGCTGTCCTATTTTATGTCCATTATGGCTTCAGTCAGACCATAGACTGTATAAATAGACTCTAGCTCCAATTCACTTTCTATTGAAAAATTGCCACTTTTTTCTCTGTAACTGCTGCTGCCAGGCTTCTCGTTCTGACCTTTAAAATGTTTGATTAACCCCCTCTACGTGATCCCGGTGTGCTTATTTTGCTATTCTCTATGTAAATCTAAATGTGAACATTAATATCTAACCATCAGGTGTCTACTTTCTCTGACGTCTGCTACCACTAGTGTTAGCAACAGGTTTGTTTGACTGGGTTGCTTAGCGCCCATCCCCTGCCAAGCCAACATCAGGAAGTGGCGAGTACCTTTAACAATCTTGCTGCTCATTGGCTCTTTGGTCTATGATACACAGACTTCCAAATCCGGGACTCTGCTCCAAATTTGCTGCTAACTTCGATTGGCTTCATTTGGCTGGAGCCGAATGTCCGTGGGTAACGTCACACACCATCAGCCCACTTCTGTATACAGTCTATGCTCCAGATGCTATAATGCCAAGTTAGATTTAAAGTACTTATGACAGGCTTTCATATTTTTCTAATTATGACTCTGTTTGGTGGGAGAGTACCTGTGGTAAATATTTATCATAGTTTTACAGCAGGAAAAGAGGCAGTTTGTGGAAAAAATAGTTGAGTACAAAAATACATGTAGCAGTGAGTTCTAAAACAGAATCCCTCACCCTATGTCGTCAACATGGAAAATTCCATCCAAAATTCAGGGACAGTTTACACACAAGGAATTACTTTTTCTGACAGATTAAACTAACAAAATGTTTTTGTGTAATCCTTGCTACTGTGTCATTTTAGAGAATTTTTGGCATTTGTTACTCTAATAAAAAATTGATCAGTAAAATCTTAATAATTATGTCAACTATGTTTTACTGAAAAGTACTCTAACCTGTCATTTCCACTTTAACCTTCAGCAGGATATTTGCCTATTGCATGTATGTTTTGTTTTTGCGTTTTTGCATAAAATAGTACTCACACTCAGACACTTACTCCAAGGATCTCTTTCAGCAGGACGTGGGTAAATTAGATTTGAGTTTCATGGAGTGATGATTGGAACTGCAGTCCACATTAAAGGCTAAAACTCAGAGCTCGGCGTCGCTCCCGGGATGTGTACAGTTATTCGAACAGCCACAGACTATTCCACCCATGAATCTATTTTAAGGCTATGCTGTGAATTTGAGCTCCAGAGACATTAGTTGTTTTATTAGTCATCCAAACGCCATATAAAGCTTTCCATCAGGCAATCCATCAGAAATGTGCCTCTTGGTTTAGGTTCAGATATATGAGCAGTTACCAATAGGTATCAAAAGAAATACACTGACCATGATCCTTTGCTCCACTTCAGTCCATACAGTAAAGGGAAATAACTCCACTTACTTCAGGTCTTCCCACAGTATCATTAAAGGAGAGATATGGTGCTAAATGTATTTTTTAGAATTTATAACCATGTTCAGATTGTTTTCCCTTCTCATTTACCCTCTTGAAGTTCCGTTTAGAGTGATTTGCATATTTGAGTAATCCTTATTCTCTTAGATTAAAGACATCATTGCTCAGATTTACCCTTGTTTTCATTACATCTTCACATTGCCATTTTGGAACAATAAAAAAATGCAGTTCTCTATAAGAGGAGCTGACAGCAAGTGGCACATTTGGTTTTGTTGACGCTTACAGCGATATATCGTAAAGGCAGGAAATGGCTCGTATTGGGCTCCGCAATTTTGCAAACTGGAAGTCAGCTGACATGTTTCTTTTATTAAGCCATTTTAGATGAATATTGCAAATCCACAGATGCTATATATTATAGCACAATGCGTCCTTTTAAATATAACATGTAATGCCATGATTACATGTGAAAGCTGTTACGTAAAACATAAATATTCTCTATTCAAAGTACAATATTTTAACAAGATTTTATCACTTCAACAGCTCGCTCTTATACTTGTAGACATTCTCTTTACAGTGTCAGTACATTACATAGCACAGTGTGTACCATGATGTGCGTAGATGGACCAATGGTACAAAAGAGACATTATATGGACAACAGAGGGTCCATAGAGGAGTGGAGAAGTTGTTAATTCTTCATGTGGAGCTCTGACTTATAATGGAGTCAAGATTTCGTCAGCTGCATTGGCAATGTACAAGTCCAACATTTTTAAACTTTTTTTTTTACTTTTTTGGCTTCTACTTGCTGGGCGGATGCTTTGCCAGTTTTCTCTCTGCTTTGGCTGCCTGCCTTCTTAAGACTAATGTTGTAAAAGAGAAAAATTGAAAAGCAAATGCCAATTAATTCAGAAACTATCATAACTAAATACAAAATCAAACAAGTATCAATACTGACACGAACATGACATAAACGGGTCATTACTTTCCTTAATGGTTTAAGAATGGATGAATTTTTATTAGAGCAAGTAAAAGATGACAAGCTCTTTTTAAAAATGAGTTTTGAATCTTGCCTCTGGTGCAGTCATGTTGAATATTGAGTCTGTTCATTAGTTGGCAGGAAAGAATGGGCTGTCCCCAGTTAAAGCCACAGTATGTAACCTTTTTGCCAAGAAACACTCAAATAAAATGTGCTTATTGATTTGAAAAACATGCCCTCATGACCAGACTTGGGTCTCCACAAACCGTATGATATAAAGTTTTTATCTCCATGGAGGATTTTCCAAAGTGAGTTTTAATTTTATATTTCCATAATTCCAGAATCTCCAGAATATTACACAAATCTTTAAGCTAAGGCCAACTATAGCGCCTGAGTCACTGCTCTGAGAGTTGAGTTAAAGCATATCACTTTATTACTTACTCATTCACAAATGAACATTTGCTAAATGCTTTGTGTGCTCTGCTAGTGGCACAAGACCTTGAAAATGTGGTCTATTGAACCTCGTCCTCGTCATCATTTTCAGACTCCAGGCTGAATGACAAGAGACGAACTGCGACATTGGATGACTTTGTTGCATATTACAATAGCAATATTTTATACTTTTCCCTTGCAGCAATTTCAGTGAAAATAAACAATGAAATAAAACATAAAAAAGACTTAAGTACAAAAAACAAACCAAAACAAGCACAATAGGCAAAATCCTCCAGTAGTCCTGGCCAAGCTTATCTCAGTATCTGGAAATGGGCCCTGAGGGATGGGTCAAAAGCAGAGGACCAGTTTCTGACACAGTATACTTGTTTTTCTCGTCTTAAAAATATGAAAGGAGAATTAATTAATATACAGTGGTCCAAAGTTATTCTCCATTTACCTTATGCATTCAGAGCATCCTAATTCTTCACAGTGACAAGTTATGAATGTTGTTCACAACTTTCAAACTCCCAAGCTGAATTTTGCCTTTACTGTAATACTAACAACACCTAACATGCTAACAGCGCATTTCCTGGTGCTTGGATGATTAAACAGTTCATAATTAGACTGCACAGTTTCATTTTGACCCTGTAAGATCTGTTCACAATATCTACTGAGGCAAAACAATATGTGCTCAACTATGGACTAAAATCGTCACTGACTCTTTTGAAACTTTATGTGACAACAGTCTTGGTAAAATTCATAACTTGTCCATATTTATTAGGCTTCTGGTATGAAAACAAAAACCTCAAGACAGCTACACTACTACATTTTGTCAGCACCTCAAGTTGTCCAATATTTGATCACCCCCACTGCCCAACAAAGATCGCTACACCCGGAAGATAAGTCTCGTCATGACAGCCGACTGGGGAAGGTTTTTGCAGCTGTCACAAACAACTGCTAGCACTGGTTACACACAAGATTTCAGGGTTAGCTTATAAACCCATCAAATCACTTCAGTCTATACATCTGCAGTATAAGCAATTAAGATGTCAAACCACTCATAAATAACAACTGTAGGCGTTAATGAGGAGGTGCGGAGTCTGGAGTCTCATTTTTACTTGTACAATCACAGTCATCTGAAACAATTTACCTGCTGTTAAAAACAGCAAAAAGTATTAAGGCAGAAGTCATGTTGAGAAATTATAGCAGCGATTTTTAAAAAGGAAAGTTGAGCTGAGGTTAGATGTTAGAGTTACAAAATGTTACTGAACTTAGTAAAAAGTTGTTCATAAAGATTCATAAAGAGTCAAATGAAAAGAAATTTGCTGTTTCAAGTGTGAACTTTAATTACTGTACCTGTCAGTGCAATATCTGTTTTAGTTGAAATCCCACTGAAAGACTCAGCTACTCTTTAGTTCTAACACTGGTTATGATCTCAGTAGATAATATTAAAAGCCAGTGAACTGAAAGTATGTAGGTAAGTACATTTTACTACCCTGGTAGGGAAATTTGTCCTCTGTTTTTGACCCATGCCTCAGTGCCGCTGGGGCAAACTGTCAGGAGCACTAGACCCATTTTTAGATCTCGAGCTAGATTACCGTAGCTGGATGAATTTTACATATTGTGATTTTTTTAAACCTATTTTTCTAGTCTTTGCGTTTTTGGTAGAGGGTCAGTCAAATGATTTTCTCCATGGAGATGTTATTGCTTTGTCTGGAATGTGGTATTTCTGTTTTCATGGAGACCAAACTAGACCTAGTTACAGCTCAAATCTGTGGAGAGGCAACCCTGCTCACAGTCAGAATACCTATTTTTCATTATAAAATCACGTGTAATTTAATACATCTAAGGTAGAGCTGTTTAATGTCATACTGTGGAACGTTTCAGGCAGTGCAATGATACAGTATATCCATAGAAACAAGCAGGTGATGAACCCAGATCCCAAAAGTTACACAGTGCACCTTTTGAAACACAAAAACCTTTTCACAAAACTGATACCCAACATCTATTTTTGTGGATGAGAGTGCTCCTGTTCTTTTTTCCTGAACATTTTACCAAGCCAATTATACTAACGGCCTTTGTAGCACCTCTCCTGTCTGATACTAGAAAATATTACACTATTTATTATAGAGGAACTTTTTAATTAGTGATGATTATACTTTTTGGTAACCTCACTCTAAAGAGCTGTACCATTTGACCACCGGAATAATCTAAACTCTGTAGACTTAATCACGGCAGAAACAGGTGCAGATGCCAGGTCCAGTGTTATCCAAAAGCTCTCCAGCCAATACCTCACACAAAAGCAGTATTAAAATTCCAGTGGCCTAGTGGTGGGTTTGTCTCTTAATCTGATTAGCCTAAAGAGGGCGTTTGATTCTCTGACCTTCACGTGCATGTCACATATCAATTACAAGTGTGTAAAGCCATTATAGGTCCTCAGGGTACAAGGCGATGGTAATGAATTTGAAGGTTAGAAATTCAAATTGCTACAAGGCGTGTCCTATTAAAAGTCATGTTCAACTATAAAATGAAATATGAATAGAATAACTAAAGTCATAGCCGTAGATTAATTAGAGTTTGAGGTAGCTCTTATTGACTAGTCAATCAAAGACTAAATTGCTAACTGCCATAATACGTTTTAACATATTATTGTCAACAAATGATTGATGGCGTTATACCAGTTAAGACTTCTCAACTTCTCAACAGCTCAACAAAACAAAATCCGGCAAGGCTACAGAAGTAAATTTCCCATCCTTTTTTTTCATAGACTAAACAAGCGCAATCAGAGACAGCAACCTGGTCCCCCATGAGGCAACGGTGGGGCAGTTCATCACCACAGAAGCAGCTTATGAGGAGCCCAACCCATATTACATGATTGTTATATCCACAATGCAATGTGTGTATCTGTACAGTGCCCATGAACATTTGTGTGATATTGGTCACACATGAGAATGTCTGTGTTTACTTTTTCTGAGATTTTGAGACCACTCCCGTTGCTCTAACTCGATCTGTCAGAGTTATGACCAAAACCGCATATTTGACCTTAGTTACCTTGACCTTCAAGTAACCTTGACCAGTTTCAACCTGTAACATCCAGTGTACCCCGGTTATGTGTGTGCAAAATGATTAGGTGAATATTTTAGCCCCAGATGGTTCAGAAATTGACAAAATTGCCTATCCTTTAGAATGACGTGACCATTCAATTGACCTGTGTGACCTCAAATGACCTTGGATCGCCCACCAAACTTTTTTTGTGGCATCGGGCACGGGGGCTTGACCCATGTACCAAATTTGGTGACAATCAGTCCATAAATGGTGGAATTATCTCAGGTGGACAGACACACACACACACGCAGACACACAGGGTGAATACAAAACCTGGTCAACCCTTCGGGGACCAGGTAATAAAAATACTGAGGTTAACCAGCTATGTCCATAAAGCAGCTGATTTCAGTAAAAAAGCAACTATAACTTAAGCCCCTGGTGATCATTAGATATCACGTTGTTTATTAGCCCCAAGCTAGTGTTCAGTTCAATCCAATTTTCAATTGAAAATTCAATTCAATTTAAAAAGTTTATTGTCAATTTTCATATCAAAAAGATGAAGAATTTAAATTGTGTTCCTCATTCCCAGTCTTCTGAATAAATAATAATAATAAATGAAAAAGTTCTTTGTCTTTGTTCTTAAAACTTAATTTAAAAAAATGTATGTATCCTTTTTTTCACTAGAAAGCTTATGGGAAAGATGAATGGGAAATTTACTGCTGGAATCTCAAAGTGGGTCACTGTTGAGCTTCCGTAAGTATTAAGATTGGCAACCGGGAAAGACATTGAGCACCAAATGGTAATACTAACAAAATCAGTGTTCAAATAAACAATAGTGTTTGCGCCTTAATGTATTTGGTTCAGAAAATAGAGGCATGTACAATAGGACTATGCAGTGAGTTTAATTTGAGTTGACTGAGATCAAAATAATTTCTAATTATCAATGAGCTTTTAATTTTGAGGTTTACAGCCAATCCTCTGTCAATAAACACATGTGGTTTAGAGCAGAATTAAGACTTGCAAGGAAGGAAATGTAACTTTGTGTGTGTGTGTTTTAATCTGTTTTAATCTTGTTTATGCTCCAGAAAATAGAAAAATAATCAGAGCCGAATTTTGATAATCGTGATCATTAGCTGGACTATACAGACTCCAAAACACACACAAATTCCACATACAAAATACCTTTTTAATAACACAGACAACAGCATTACTAAATCAAGATGTGAATGAATAAACAATATCAGATTTTTTTATTCAGTAACACATTTTATTCATAAATATTCTCTGCAGAAGACTTCAGTCACCATGTTTCAACCTTTCATTTTGTTGATCATGTGGACCCCCTGTACACTAGAACTTATTTTGTTTGACTAGCAGACTAATTGACTACTAATATTGACACTTTGCAGCTCATGTCATCAACATTCCCCGGGGGTGTGATGCTAACTGTAGACACTGCTCTGGCTGAGGCTTTATTAGACTTTAATCTGAGCTTTATTTTAATACAATCTGACCATAAAGAACTGACTTGGCTGCAACTACAACAGATGAGAAAGTTTGTGCTGTTAAACAAATGTCTCACAAAATACAATGACAGTCACAAGGTTTTTAGTTTTGTTGTCTTTTTGTTGAAAATGACACCTAAATAAGACCATGAACCCTCGTATTGATCACAAATCTGGACAATTTTAAAACTTTTTTGGCAGTGTCTTTTAATGTGAGCATTGTGTCACCACCGTAACTCCTTAAAAAGAGATACACACAGAACACCCCCAGTCCAGCCCAGCGTGACATCACTGCAAATCAATAATCATTAGTTACAGCACTTCAAAGCACCACTAAAAACTTGATCCCATATTTGAATTACATCATATTTATTTAAAAAAAAAACTAACTTTGAGGAGGTCTGATAATGCCGATAGCTGTTAGTGTTTAGTTGCATTGTTCCAGATAGTTTGGTGTTCTAAGTTGAGGTGGGTCATCCGGGGACACTCCACAGAGATTTGAAGTGTGTCCAGTCTTTCCCTGGCATAGTGCCTTGGCAGCTTGTACTTCTTCTACTGCAGGCTACATAAGCTACGGCGGGTTTCAAACAGGATTCTCCATAAAGCACACGGCCTTGGACACATTCCCACTTCACTCCCTCAACTTCGCAAACAAACTTTACAATTAGCAGTCGTGTAGAATTAGCAAGTTGACACAATTTTGCAATAAATGGTGCGATTAACTATTACATTTGATATTTGGAAAATCTTTGAAAGAGTTACAACATCGCAATTGTGAAAGCACTGTTTTGTTGAATATTAGACGTAAATACAGCTCTTCTTATCAGTCTGGCCTAAATCGAATGTCAATATTTGCCATTTTACAATTACTCGTGAGTTTTTCTGTTTATATAATATTGTAGTATTTTATATATTCGCTTAAATGTAAATGTAACTTTTCTAATAAGGGTCTGCCACCTGCTCATGGGGATGTTGTTACTTTTCCGCCAACAGGTTACAGGTCAGATAAGTAAGAATGTATCTTTATTTGGCAAAGAAAATGACCTGATTTGGAAAAAAGCAAGACAGATAAGCTTAATGCCGTGGCACAAACTGGGGCGCATACTAGGCATAACAATGACATCACCATGGAGACAAGCAAGTTGATGACCTTCCACCAGAAAAGTTACATAATGGACCTTTTAATACCTGCTTAACTCATTTCCATTTTATGTGTGTATCTAATGTTTAATGGTGCACTATGTAACTTTTCTGGTGATATGCATATACCCAGAACATGCTTGTTGCTTTGTCAGGAAGGTCCCACAGTATGACAGTAAACTTTTCTATCATGCGTTTATTCCAGTGTTAAAAGCCTTGAAAATCATACATTCTTGCTGTGAGCAGAGTCGCCTCTCCACAGAACTTGACGTAATGGTGTTACCTGCTTGTTTCCATGGAGATAGATGAGCTGTCAAAGGTAACATTTTAGTATAAATCTAGTTTTATTTATTTATTTAAAGTGTATAATTATAGAGGTAATTCCATTTTTATTAGTCTAATCATAACCATTGTTTCATTTAGACAACACCCTAATCTCCCAGAAAAATGCCTTCTTTGCTCGTAAATTGTAAATTGGAAGGGATTTTCTTTGTTGGTGATGTTGTTATCCTGTTGTGACATGTATAATCACAACTATTTGTGCAGACAATTTCTCTTGGCATTTGAATATCTGCAAAATATAGACACTGAGGACAGAAAGTAAAGCGTCATATCAGCAGACAGTATTTTCACTTTGACACAATCCCGTTTGTCAAACAGCACTGACCTCCATCACTCTCTCCTCTGTTCACCAGATGTCCTCACACTTGCGCTTCCAACTCTGACACATGCAGCTCCTGAGTCATCGCTCGGGCCGCCTCCGCCAAAACGACAGTCTTTTAGTCAAAGGGAAAGGCTTTTTTTTTCATTTTAGGTTTGGTTCAGTTTTGGAAATAGAAAAGGACTGTGTTTATTTGTAAATTGCTTCTTCCAATGATCTCGTTGGATGTCATTTGAACTTAACAGTTTTAGATTGTGTGAAGCTCTTGTAAGCAGTAAGCACATACTTTCAATGGATTTGTTATGGAACTCAACAGTCCTGCCCACTCTGAAGTCTGCTTTGATTCCAGATGTAAAATTCCCATAAAATTTTCCCATAGACTATTAGGAGTTCAAAAGCAGCGCAGTGGCTAACCAGCTATGTGGTGACTAATATCCATAGCACGACTGTTTTAAGTCTAAAAAGGTTGGTTTAAACCCATGATTACAACATGTTTAATAACTTAGAGGTTTATAAAATTTCAGGTTTCAGATAAAGTTTCAAATTTTGATCCACAGTAGCCCTTAGTACTGAGTTTTTAAACACGCTCGATTATGACTCGCTCAATTATAAACTCGCTCGAGCTTTTAAACTGCTCATTTATGGCAAAAACATAATCAAGATTATTTAGCTCATAACTGAAATCACTTTTAGAGAAAGTATAGGCTTACTATAATTTATCAGTAATGTTCCGTGCCACTTTGTAGAAGTGGCTTTGGTCCAGGTTTTGCAAGGCCGCTACAATGACCCCACAATGACCCTACATCAGGGGTGTCCAAACTTTTTTCATCCAGGGCCACATATCCAAACACAGACGAAGCAGAGGGCCGATCGAGGGCCATAGACTGGTGCCCAATACAGTGAATAATTGTAATATGTGCATGTTTAACTCATTAGAATGAGCCATCAGTCTTTATTCATGCTAAGATCCTCAAAACCACAAACTAAATATCAAATATTAGCTTTATCAAGGTAGATTCTCAAAAAACTTGCAATAAAAAGTTAATTTTTCATTGATGCAAAGTAATTTGGGCCAATTCTCCTGGAAGCCTGAGGGCCAAGAAAAATTTGTCTGAGGGCCGCATTTGGCTCACGGGCCATAGTTTGGACACGCCTGCCCTATATATTCTGAACAGAAGTTGATGAATTGTATTTTCAATTACTATATTTTTGTAATTGTAGAGGGCAATAAATGAAAAAAATGTGAATTTCAGTGAACTACAGAGCGATATTTTTTTATTATAGGGATTTATAGAAGAAATATGAATATTACATTTTCAAGTAAGGCACAGAGATGTGGATATTGTACTTAGCTGATACAATAATAGTAATTTAGCTTTTTTTTTTCCTCCACACATTTTATACATAATGCAACGACTGGTACGTCAGATTTAAATAAGAAGACAAAGAGTATACTGTCTGAAAGGGGAGAAGGTATTAGTAATTAGCTTCAATTATTTATCACTGATTGATTTTCTGACAGTGTGTCCACTGATCAGCGTCTCAAATCCCGCTCTTGACATAAACAGCTCTGATTAAGTGGTCAGATCCACTGACCCACAGGTTGGCGATGCGATTCCAGCTCCCACAGATGAATGCTATTGCTGTAACTTTGGGCAAAACACTTGACCCACCTTGTCCTCAGTGTCTGCGCACACTGGTGTATGTGTGTTTGTGAATGGGTGAGTGGTTACATGATATGAGTGCTTTGAGTGACTTGAAGGTGGAAAAGCGCTATATAAAAGTGTGAACATTTATCATTTGTTTGGCAAAGCCTATTCCAATTGACAAAACTTCATTTAGCTTTATAATGCAGACAGTCATTGTAGATAATAACTCACAATGTCCTGATTAAATTAACAATTAGTGTAGCTGTAATGACAGACTGTCCAAAAATATTCTACTTTTCTCATCACGTCGTGGCAGATGCTAGTATATTACATTCTGTTTTTGCAATCTGTGTTTTGTTTTGTTAGGTTTTTTTTTTTTCTTTTGGACAAATTTTGGTGGACTTCAACATATGGCTGGTGGGTGGACAAGAATACTATTGTGTCATTACGATTACATTGCTTCTTATCCAAACCAACTTTCTATGCCTTATTATCAACTAAAGATGTATTCAGATGTATTGTATAAGCAGGTCAAAATAAATCCACTGTGTACTGTTTTCATCAAATTATAATCCTTTATACTGTCCAAGAATCAGGAAGTGCCCTGTTAGCATGCTAGCTGTTAGCATTACCATGATGACAAAATCCACACTGGTCTCCGAAAGTT